TTAATTTTATAAATTAAATTATTTAAATTTTTCTATATATATTACATTAATATATGTTATTAATATTATATATTTATATGTTATTAATACAAATGTCAGAAAATGACATCTTGTGAATGTGACATATCAACTATTGACGCCATTTTCGGATTTTATGAGACCCAGCTTAGGACATCTAATTGAGTGAAGCGAGGGGGGGATTTAAGGTGGCAGGAGGCACGAACCAAGCATCCATCTCTTCCGTGGTAGCGGCACTGTCGTGTCTGTGTAGGGCGTTTACACACTTAAAAAAAAATTCCCAGAAGTCGAAATGGAGGGGGGAGGGTCTAAGAAAAAGTTTTTACGATTTTTTTTAAATAAACGGGAAACTACCAAACGTTTTGGATGCGGTACCAAACATTAGCAATCAACAATTGAACGATTGGTAAAAAAAATTTCCAAAAGTCAAAGTGGGGGGGCTAAAAAAAGGTCAAAAATTTGTTTACGATTTTGTCAAAAAACGGGAAACTACCAAACTTTTTTAATGCGATACCAAACATTACCAATCAACCACCAATCGATTAATAAAAAGAAAATTCCCAAAAGTTACATTGGGGGGGCTAACTTTGGTAAGGTCAAGAACTATCGGATGTTTTTCTTCTGATTAATGACTGGTTCGATGTATTAAACAGCCAATCAAAATTCCCATAGCGGCTCGCGTGCTTACGGAGTGGAATTAGAACATCAGAATAAAATTTTGGGGAAAATGAGCCAGTTCATTTCCAACCTGAGAGTTGGCAACGTGCATCTTTACCCACACTCCTTAAATAAAGGCAAATGCTCGGTCTAGATATACTATGTCTATGGCTCGAGTTGTTCGAGCGCGTTACAGCTCCGTCCTTTTAAACTGTTTCTTGTGTTATCTTGTATTATAATAAAGTTCCTTAAGTGCCGGTCTACAATAGGTGATTTAAGCCCTAAGCCTTAAGAAATTGACCAATCATAGCCAAGTATGAGGAGAATACTCGACTGTGATTAGTCAATTTCTTAAGGCTTAGGGCTTAAATCACCTATTGTAGATCCGGACTTAGTGTTTCTTAAGTGAATGTTCCTCTTTTTGAAAGTGTTAGTAATATCGCGCCACCAATTCGATTAATCGATATCAATCCGCGGACGTAACAATAGGTCTGTTCTTTATAGCTGAACTGGCTGCACTAGTTCAGAGCTTATCTTTCTCCTTCCAATGGGGAGAGAAAAAGATAAACTTTGAACTAGTGCAGCCAGTTCAGCTATAAAGAACAGACCAAATATGTTTAAAATGTTTTTTTTTTAATTTTAAGAACGTTTTCTAAAATGTTGTCTACTCATTGAGGCCCGATACCCGAGATATATACAGGGTGTATCCTAAAAGGTGGGAAGTATTGCAATGAGAGATTCAGGACACAAAAATAAGAGAAAAAATTCATATGAACATATGTCCGATATGACCGTGTTTTCAAGTTATAGCTTATTTTATTTTTCAACAGAATTAAGATAATTACGGTTACAGGAAGTGCTCAAAATGACTACCTCTAACTTGAATACAGGCTTCAACACGTCTCATCATAGATTGTCTGACTGTTTCAAAAATTCCGGGTATTACTTGAATTTCCCGGCAACCATCTTCAACACGGTGACGAAGTATCTCGACGTTGTCAATGGGTGTTTTGTAAACAATGGATTTTAGATGCCCCCACAAATAATAATCGATTGGATTCAGGTCTGGAGAGCGAGCTGGCCAGGCAATAGGACCAACACGGCCTATTCAAATCGATATCCAAGTATACAGAGAGAAAAGTTTCTTTGGATTTAATAAATTTTGTTGTAATCAAAGAAATATAATGCTTGGAATGGTCCAACCATACTAATGTTTGAAGTAACAAATATGATTGTTTGATTTTCAAATAATATATTTATTTACTTTAAATAAAATATTTTTTAAATGAATTTCATTTTTTCTTCAACTTAAACAATTATATTATTCTTTCAAACAATATTCTTCTTTTATTCAAAAGATTCATTATAATTGCTTTTAACAATTTAAATAAATCTTAAAACAAGTTAGATAAAGTTAAATTGCACGTTACTGCATCTTTCTAATCAAATCTTTGAAGCATCTTAGGACTATAGCATATAGAAAAACTTAACTTTACTTATTCGGAATTTCTATCCAAATAAATGAATATCGGACATTTATCTGTCCGATTTTCCAAAAATTAGTTTCATTATCTGAATTCTCTTCTATAGAGATCGTATCAGAAATGAAACTGATAGAAATAGTTGTTAAATGTTATTAGCCGCATTTTGCAGGCCTTATTCATATACTGTTATGACAAAAACTTGAATACAAGTATAGTGAAGTATAGCGCGCCGCATAGCGGTAAGCGAGTAAATTATACTATTCCAAATAATAGTTATTTTTCCGTCAAACAACATGCAACGAAACCATTAAATTTTTTATTCAACAAAATAATGTTTTGTATAAAATTATGTTTTTGTAATGAAACAAATATAAGTCAAACAAATAGATATATTAAATTTAAAGAAACCTTTTGCGTCGTTCGAAAGATGGCGTTAAACGATGGTATACAGATTTTGAGTCAGTGGCGCTATCAGTCGTTAAACCCAGGTACTTATCATACAGCCCTCGTATATATATACAAGAATCGATAATCTGTGAAATATATTTTATAATTTAAAAAAAATCTAATAAACTATTAATAATACACAACGCAAATGTTTTCTGATTGGATATACCCATCCCCATTTCCATACATATACATCGTGCCACACATATCTGTCCTAATTTTCTTGATATATTTTTGCCGATTTTTCATTCTTGAAATTTCTGAAACTGCATTTCTTGGAATCAAATATCAGAAGAACATAATCAGCAAAAAGGTAGCACAAGATAAAATTTCAAGATGCGCAAAAATTTGAAACTTTAAAATTCGCAAAAGTATCAGAATTTTTTTTTTACGAAGAAAGAGAAAAATGCATTATGCATTCCCACCGGTCGGTCCGATGGGAATATGCAGAACTCGCACTCGCTAAAAATCTCTCCCTGGGTCAACTTTTGACTTCCTATCAATACTTACACAAATTTAAATTCTGAGATATCGGGAATATGATAGGCAAAAAAGGTAATACAAATAAAAACTTCAAAAATTGAAATTTTAAAAACTCCAACTTTATTTCCTTTTCTCATTTACAGTATAATGAAAATTACTATCTAAAAATTAATTATTCTTACAATTCAAGTTTCATAACTGATTGCATTTTGCAGGTTTTATATACGCTCATAACAAAAACTTGAATAATTGGGTATAGATAGTGAATAGCGCGCTGCATAGCGGTAAGCGAATGTGAACTATATCATTTCAAATAAGATTTAATTTTGTAATATTTTGTAATAAGCTGCAGATATGTTCTGCTCGGTTTCTGCTGCCAATCTGCTGTCAGGTTGCGCAAGCGCAGATCCTGCTCTGTTCCTGCCATCAATCTGCTGTTAGATTCTATGAGCAGGCTCTGCTTGATTTTTGGCACCAATTTGTTGATTTAATTGATAATAACAACTTCTGTATCAAATTTATAGCTTTTTTGCTGACAATAGTTGATAGCAGACACTTGACATGATCTGCTTTCGATAGATTTGGCTATCTGAGTCTACAGCTATTCCTCTGAAGAATGGAATGACTGTGATTGGCCACTTTTAGAATTACGGATGTTATTAAACCCGATTAAAGGCCGTATTAAGGCCGTTGCGGGCACGGTTAAGATTAGGGTTACAGTTGACGGTTACAGATTGACCAATCAGAGCAAGGCAGCTTGCCAACTGATTGGTCAATTGTAATACGGCCTTAAGAGTGACATATATATTCGCTTAACCACATGTAATATTTATTTCTAAATGACATATTGTATATAATTTATATTATATGATCTTGTAAATAAATCATATATGTACAAACGTAAATTAAAAATAAAAAATATGTACAAATATAATAAAAACTTTTTTTTCAAAAATGTAAAAATCTGGAAATTTTGGATTTTATAGAACCTATTCAGGCAAATTTGTATAATCATATGCATAAACAAGTTAACCAATCAAGTGTCTAATGGATGACGCCACATTGCTATCTTTTTCATATTGATGCATGATTGGTTGATTTTTCTGTGCATATGCATTATGTATCTATATATTTTATATATTCTATGGGATAAGTTCTTACCGATTGGTCTATCCGGAAATAAATATGGCGCCATGTTCAAAAAGAGATTGATTAAATTTCAAAGATTTTTCTCGCGATTTCTTACTCATTTGTCAAATTATCAATCTGTATATTTCTGTCATTTCCACATATTTTGATTTTTTATAAAATATTCTTCTACGTGCAAGGTACAAGTCATTAATGTCTTAATGATATGAATTTATGCACATTATTTATGCCATGCGGATTATGCGGAACCTAACAAAAAAAAAAAAAAAAAAAAAAAAAAAAAAAAAAAAAAAAAAAAAAAAAAAAAAAAAAAAAAAAAAAAAAAAAAAAAAAAAAAAAAAAAAAGAAAAAACACTAGTTTAGTAGTGTTTAGATATTTATTCGCGATATATCGTGTCGTATATTTATTTAAATTTTGCCATAAAATACGCGGTTCGTTATCAATTTGTATTTATACACTCAAAGATTTGTAGAATCAACAGTTGCATGTGATTGACGTTTCGCGCTTGTATACACGTGTGTGTACATCGCCGATCTGTCAATCTGTCAATTGTCAATCCCACAGCAAATTGCGGAGACCGTGGATGTCTTACCTCAATGACAGCGGTAATGAAGGTTAGGTAAGCTGTGTTGTTGGAGTAAAGGTAAAGAGAAGAAAGAACGTGTCCTGACTCATCACGTTCTAGAGGGAAAGACGTTGGTAACATATCTATATCACCGGTATCTCGCGTGTACCGTACGAGCGGAATCCGTATCACCTGACAGCATTGCCGGTTGCGCGACGCGTTCGTCACCCACTTTGACTTCACATCACTATGTATGTGTATATTATATTACACACTATGTATATGTGTATATTACATCACTATGTATGTGTACACAGGTGAATACGTAGCGTGTAGCACGAGCAGCACGCGGTGGAAAGGGGAGATTCCCCTTCCACGAGGAATAATCAAAATGGTGGCTTCGCACAACGCGGGTGATGTGGTGTAAGGCAGACATCGGCGGCTCGCATCATCGTGATCGTTTCGGACAGACGCGAAAAGCGTGAGCGTTGAATACGCTATATAGCCGGATAACATGGGCGACCCGAAGAGCCAGCACGGCGGGCAAGAGATGAAAGGCTGGCTTTTCAAATGGACGAACTACTTGAAAGGTTATCAACGAAGATGGTTCGTCCTGTCAAACGGCCTCCTGTCGTATTACAGGTAGTTTCCTACGTGTCATCGGATCTACCTCTACCTACCTACCTATCTCTGCCTCTGTCTACCTATCTTTATCAAATTTTTTCGACTCGCGCTATCGCGTTTCCATACGTCTTTAGACACACGCTCGTTATAACGTTTATATGATCGATCTTGACGAGATCGCATGCCACGGCTCGGGTCTGCTGTCTGCGTTTTTATTTCCAACGATTGTCAACGTCAGCCCCCCAGCCGCGTGGAGAAGAGAAATCTAGAGACACGTCGAAATGCAATATGGAGCTGTTCCCTGTTCGCGATTAGGTTATGTGCGCGTATATGTGACAGTATTCCTTTTTTTTCCTAATCGCTCCCGGTCAAAAATAGCCTGGCAACAGCTGATCGAATATGTATTTGAAGCACTATCTAGCGAAACGCATCGCCAAATGTCGACGAAATAGCGCGCATTGTTTGCGGACAATGTACTCGATTATTAATTAGTGATATTTATCGAGGACCGTTAAAACAATTAAAATTGCGTCATAAGCGATTAAAGAAATGAGAGAAAAATCTTGGCGCTAAATGCAAAAATCCAATTGACAAAAGAGAGCGCGGGGAACAGCTCCTTATTATTATCCGTTTTCAAAAGTTGATAAGTCCGTTTTCTGCGCCTTTTGAATTATAATCTTCCAGAGTTTGCGATAAGATGCATTGTAGCAAGAACATAGTAGAATGAGAACTTGGATACGCATGTACATAATGGGGCTTTGCGATTCTCATTTCCAAACGCGATTTTATCAGTCGATTTATTCGAGTAATATCGAATTGATTATTGTCTATTTGAATATTATTTGGCGATATTAATCTTCAATTCCAAACTTTTGTTTGTAATGTATATATAAAAAAAAAATATAAATATACTTTCTGAAGAATACGTCAAGTATCGCGATGATTACATAAAAGCGTGACAAAACTCTTTCCAGACGATACTAATACAACATTACGCTTACATTTATATGGTTCGTCGCAAAATGTAGAAATCAGTAATAGGAATTCTTGATGAATTTGTAGTCGATTCAGGGTGTCTATTTTCTGGAAAACCCTAGAAACCTGGAATTTTTAGGGATTTCGTTTTTATCTTGAAAGATCAGGGAATTCTCATGGAATTTTATTCGAGCTCAGGGAATTTTTTCAAAAATTCTCTCTTTGATCATTTTGTTCTTATATTGTTAGCATCGACAATTTGATTAGCCAATGATTATAAATTATATGTTTCAAATATATTATAAATATATATCTTCCTCTTTGATTATATGTTCATTGTCATAGCAAAAAATACTGAATATACAGTACTGAGTACACATTTTTTATTGTAATTCTTATAATTAATGATAGAAAATGAAAGTATTATGCAAATGAAAAATGCTTATCTTACAAAAGTCATTCAGTTCTTTTCAGTACATTTTTAAATTTAATATTTAAAATTTAAGTAGTTTATTTTTCCTTTGTATGAATAAAAAGTATTAGAAAACGCACACAAAAAAAATTTGTTTTAAAAAATTCCATCAAAAAATTCTCTAATTTTACCTAGAATTTTGAACAAATTACATGAAAAATCGGGGAATTTTTTTACAAACATTGGATAGACACCCTATCGATTATTGTTTGTTGTTATCTCAAATCAAAAAATTGTTTGAAGTTAAGAATTATTTATTATTATTGAGATTAATAAAAGTTATTTAACACTGTATATTTAACACTTGCGTTATAATTTTCGTGTTATTACACTCTTGAAAGAATGCAGAAATTTTAGAAAAAAAAATTGCCTTTCTATTGTGCAAATGTTCGCACTTGATGACGCATTTCGTTTATCCGAATCGAAGAATTAATTATCTATAAATTTTCCTCTCTTTTTTGTTAACTTACAAGATTTCTTATTAAATCATGTATAAGCGCTTCGTTATTTAGTTCACAGCATATATTCGTCTTTTGTGATTCGCAGCTTTTACAATTTTCGTCGTCGTTTTGTTCTGGCAATTTCGTTGCAAAATTAATAGTGTGGAACGATAGAGATTTATTCATTATGAGACGAGCGTACAAATAATGTCTCACAATCGTATTATTTTTGTTGTAGAGCAACCGCGTTTTTTTCAGACAGACGATTATGCACCGGCTTCCTAGGATTTTTCGTTTAACATTCCGCTTGGCACAGTTTGTGTGATTTGAGTTTGCAATGTCTTTTCCTGAAAATTGTTCTGGAATGTATTACGAATTTTCCTTGTTGTACGAATTAATTCTCGATTCTGTCGTAAGGCTTCTCGCACGGCAACACAGCGTGCACGCAAAATCACGCAACTCGTGTTACAAAACTCGAGTGAACTTTATCACTGTCGATATTTTACCAATTTCTTTTTTGATCTATGCAAACTCGAGGAGCGATAAAAAAAAAATGCTACGCTTTCGTCTAGGTTCTTTTTTGATCTATGCAAACTCGAGGGAGGATAAAAAAAAAATGCTACGCTTTCGTCTAGGAAAAAAAAAAAAAAAAATAAAATAAAATAAACAATTTCAAATAATAAGCTTTGCAATATTACACAATATGAACGGGGTCTATTTGTTTTATGGATTGTTTAGGGCTGAACCGACAGGGGGGCCAAAGATATCAACGCGACGCAAGCGGAGGACTGGCAGAGCCTCCGAGTAAGTAAAAAAAAAAGAGAGAAAAAAAAAGATAACGATGTATACAAAATCGCCGAAATATCCTGACTTTCCTCTTATTGTTAGCTAAATCTGTAATCAAAAACAACTGAGGACGTTGAAGACTCCAATTTTCATTTTTGCTACTCAATTATTCGTTATACACGAACATCCACTCTCTCTCTCTCTCTCACACACACACACACATATACCCCCATTTAACTTTCAATGTTTAAATGCAGTTTTGTAACTTGTCCTTAATCATCCGCTTTCTCTGTACCTATATATGTAACATGTAAGCGATATATTTATGTATAATCTGGAAATTAAATGCCCTCCTCTCATATGCTAAATATGCTAAAAGTACATCTGTATTCTCTTGTATGTTTTTCTTTCTCTTTCTCGCTGTGTAGGTGTGTGTGTGTGTGCGTATGTGTGCGCGCGCGCGCGTGTGTGTGTGTGTGTGTGTACCTGTACGTATCATAATGCAGCTGCAATGAAACGTGCCGCTTCTTTATGTTAGTCTCTGGTGCCGTTTATTCCGATCGAATCTGTTTTGTTATTTTTGTTCAAGCCGTGGTTTCTGAGCAGTATATAATGATCGTTATCGGAGCGACAAAGTAACTTAAAATCTCTAGATTAGATAGTTTTGTTTCTTTTCGAGCGAACGCTCGAAAGCTGTATCAGCTGACAACATTATCCGCAGACTAAATCTTTTCTCTTCTGAGTTCAACCGAGATGCAAGATTCTGTAATCTTTGTTAGACAATAGTTTATTTCTTCCTTCTCTCGTCATCTCTCATCAGTATATTTCTCTTTTTCTACCAGTTAGTCCTTGTATTCGCCTAAATTTTTTAATACGTTTTACATAATATGTATTTTGAGATACCTCATTTATGATACGATATTTATTATTATATGTAGAGATGTAAATAGAAAAAAAAAACAACATTTTTTTTCATAAAAAGGGTTTTTTTATGAAAAAAAACAAGCCTTATTTTTCTTTAAATTTTATTTTTTTTTTTAGATATTTAATATCTTTATATTTTGATTACTGCAAATTGATTTTTCATTATTTTTTTTTTAAATTTTTTAGATGATAGATTTGAATTAACCATTATTATTTTAAATGTAGCTCGCATTCCAATTGGCTATTATAATTATATAATTATGCATCTACTTGAAAATTATCCGAATCATGCCGAGTTTGATGTAATTTGCCGCAAAAGTCTAATCCATTAAAATTACTTTCGAAAAAAAATTAATTAAAAATATAAGAACTTCAGTTTTTTTTATTATGTTAACAAAAAAAAATATAAAAAAATATAATATTATATTTAGAAAAATAATGAAAAAAACAATATTTGTTTGTTTTTTTTTCTATTAGAAAAAAACGATTTTTTACATCTCTAATTATACAGTAATTAAGAGATACATTTTCGCCAATTATCTGGCGTATCTGAAATAGATCGATAAATTTTGGCAACAGATTTTATTCATCTTAAGGATGGAAGAAGAAGATTATGTAATTGTAGATCCGCATTCTTTCCAAGCTATAAACGACTTCGCGTCTGCCGCGGAATTTTAGAAGAATTTTTAAGATTGACAGAGATTTATTTTTGAAAAAAAAAAACGAATATTATTCCGTCTTTTCCTTTAAAGAAGTTGTTGAAAATAATTTTTCTTCTATAATGAAATGTACAATCTTAGAAATTGAAATATAAATGGATAAAAAGATATTTATTCTTAGAGATTTATTGTTACCTTAATGTACATTCTTAAAGCAACATATTCAATCGCGCAATAAGCACTATTGTTATTTATTATTAATGTAAAATTATACGAACATAATTATAATATAATTATAATATCATTAATATATATAAAAATATACAATGAAATATAATGTTTATATTTCTAACTTTACTAGGCATGTTTCTTGCAAAATTTCGTCGTCGGTGAAAATTTATAATTATTTATAATTACTATCTTATAATTATTTATAATTCAAAAAGAAAGAATATTTTATAATTACTATCTTATAATTATTTATAATTCAAAAAGAAAGAATATTTTCAGATTTATAATTATATTTTGTTTCCATCCTTAAGTTGTATAAAGAATACTTTGATAAAATTTGACGATTATTTCAGTTGTATTAGCATGACTTGTTTCCTTTTTCCACGCAGAGTCGTGATTGTTGCCTGTTTGATTAACCCGAGTGACCTCACGTGCATGATCCGATTGAGAGCTCCTACTCCGTTCTTTAGATTGTTGTTTCGTACGACGGAATAACTCCTACAGATTTGTTGCACTATTCGAACTTAAGATGTTTATTTATGTAAACGTGGACAGGAGCCGGATCGTTACGGGACGGTAGTGGGATCGCTTTTAACGAGTGTATTCTCGGCGATTACGCTAATAAACTCATACATTTTGATTTGCCCAACCGTCCCTTTGCTCTGTTCCTCCTCTCCCCATTTTCCCGGCGAATCAGATACGGTGTCACAGATGAACGCAGACAATTAATTATTAAATTGACCTGTCAATTTTTTGTCAAGAGAAGTCGCTTCTTCACCAAAGGAAACATCGGCAATCGAGTCTACAATTGCAAACTTACGTCTGTCTTTCTCTGTGTCATTCGGCAATTGCGAGGCAATTCCAAAGGCATGTGAGTACTCGAGACTGTCTCCATTTTTCTTGTTTTAGAAATCCCGCAGAGATGTCCCACACCTGCCGCGGCACGATTTCCTTACACGGGGCCTTAATACATACAGTGGACGCCTGTACTTTTGTCGTAAGCAACGGCGGCACGCAAACCTTCCACATCAAGGCGTCGACCGAGGTGGAGAGACAGCAATGGGTTACAGCCCTCGAGTTGGCAAAAGCCAAAGCTATCCAAGCAATGGAATCTGGTTTGTATTTGTACTTGGTCATTATTATTTGTACGTCGTTTAATGTGTTTTTAACATATCTTTTTCACACTTCATTTGTAAAATATCTAAGATCGGATTCATTTGTAAAATATCTAAGATCGGAAAATCTCCGAGAAATATAAATATATACAGGATGGAGCATTTAAAGTAGTACAAGCTATTATCTCTGAAAGTACACATTATAGCAAAAAATGTTTCAGACAATTTTTCAGACAAAAGTTATTCGACTTGAAGGGGGGACATAAAAAGGTGCCATTGATTTGACCTTGGATAGTCATTTGAAGGTCACCTTTAATTTCTTAAATGGAAACCCCTCATTTTTTTATTGCATATTCTTGTAGCTTATATCGAGAGCTTTTCAAAATACTATAATAAAGTATTTTTTCATTAAGTATTTTCGAGTTATTTTATATCTTAATCTGACATATCTTGATATAAAAAATAAAATATCTTGTAAAATATTTAGTTTTCGATAATCTTACCATAATACTTTTATATACAGAATAATGAGACAGATCAATTGGTATAAAGAAAATAATAATATATATGTGTCCTTTCAGAGATAATAATAGCTTTGTAACACTTTAAATACCCCACTCTGTATACAGGGTGTTCCAGATCAGGTCAATGAAACTTCAGGGTCTTATAAGAAATTGAATTTAGAACAAAAAAGTTCCTATAAACATAGGTCCGGAAACGTTCCGTTAAAAAGTTATAGCTAATAAACTCTCTGTAAGTAATTAGTTATGATCAAAATTTAATAAGAACATTTTTATGTTTGCATTTGCAATGTTTGCACTACGAATGTAATGTTTACATAAAGATAATCGAAAGATGGTTTTTTTCAAGTTTCTGCTTTTTTCATTGTTTTGAGCTTATTTTCTTTTAAACGCCTTATCAGAATTAAATGAAATTGTTGTAATTTAGTTTGTTATTTAATTATCCATCAGATTTATTTCGTTTTTTTTTTTTTTTTCAAATAAATGAGTTTTAAAGTTATTTTGAAAAATCATCAAAAAAACGTGATTTTTCGAAGTTTATTAACTATAACTTTTTAACGAAGCGTTTTCAGACCTATAACTATAGGAACCTTTTTGTTTCAAATTCAGTTTCCTATAAGACTCTGAAGTTTCATTGTCCTGGCCTAAAACACCCTATTGTATATACATACAATTTATGCATTTCAGTTTAAATTAAATAGTCAATATTAATTTTTGAGATTTTTCAATCCGAATCATATCTAACGTACGAACATTCCGATGTTATAAAGAATATTCTAATATCGATACGAGACACTGTGTCTACACGGTCGAACAATTAAGTTTCGAGACTTGCTTCGCATTTCCAAACGTTTGATCCGTTTGTACTGCCATTCAAGGAACGCTTGACAACGCGCCAACATTAAATTCTGCGTTAAATTAGTGAAGTCTCCAACAGAAACGTTATAAATGATTCAGCAAGCCTAGTCCTCTGAAGCAAGCCCTTTTAAAATTTGATTCATGTTTTTTTTTTATATCATCTGTATCTTCGAAACGTTACTCTTATGCATAGCTGACTCTCCATAGGCTTGTTGAATTATTTGTAACGTTTCTGTTGGAGACTTCTCTAATTTAACGCAGAATTTAATGTTGGCGCATTGTCAAGCGTTTCCTCCATTACACCGATTTTTAAACAAAATTTTGTAACACTACTTTGCGTGACTGTATCTCATTAACTATTGAACCAAATAATTTAAAACTTGCACCACGTGTTGAGTATTGAGTTGTGAATAACCTCCTGAAATGGCAGCATAAACGGATCAAACATTCGGAAATGCGAAGCGAGTCTCGAAACTTAATTGTTCGACCATGTATATACTACATTTATAAAACTATTATGTTATCTATCCTTTTCATCTACTTTCATCAAACTTTGGTATTTTATGTGAAATTTCTTTTAACAGAAGAGGAAGAGGAATATCAAGATAACGACAATCAAAACGTAGAAACTGCGTCTGTGATTAAGGATCTAACGCGACGATTGGACGATTTGCAAGCGTGCAACGACTTAATATTCAAGCAGGGATCTGCACTTCAGCGAGCTTTATCCGATTTGGAAACGTTAGACCCTCCGTCCCCTGAATTGGCGGCGAAATTCAAGACCGTCAGCGAGCGAGCTACGCTTTTCCGGATTGCGGCGAATGCTATGATCAGTGTAAGTTTCAATAAAAAATCTGTTATAAATTTAAATATATTGAAAAACACACAAGAAATGTTACCGTGTGTAACGTCATGAATTTATTTAAAAATCTTGCGAGAAAGAAAAAGTAAAGTACCAATAAGTCTTATACTGTTTGAATTTTACAATTTAGAAATCCACTTTATATTCTCTGAATTTTTGTTTCTTTTTTACAAAATGTCAGTATTAATTGTGGTTTTGATTGCAATAATTTTTTAATTCAACAAGTATAAGATTCAAGTATCATATATAAAATCTTTAACAAATTCTCAGATAAAAAAGTCTAAGGTACATATTCAGAACAGACTGTAACATCTTTGGAAAAACGTATATAGAATACGAATGTCATTTTTATATGTTATGTGCAATTGAAGATGTACAGATTAAAATTTGTTGAGCAAATGTTAAAAGTTTTTTGGATTATAGAATCGAATAACATAAGGATTCATGATACTTTTACAGAACTTAATAAAAATAAAAATTAAATAAAAATTTCAGAATTCGTGAAGTATTTTTGGACATTTTATAAATCTTATTGCAATGAGATATGACAGATTATATAACTGAGCGAATGATTCATTCTTAAGACAGTGTAAGGAGAAGAAGAGGAAAGATCGTATTTATTGTGATATATTTAGTAATTTGTTCCTATGATTAATGCGTTTAACAATTTGTTTGATTAACACGTTCAAAGATCAGATAGAAACTCAATTCAGTACAAAATTCGCATGCAGTACAAAGTTTAATTTTCATGTCAATTAGAATCATCTTAAATTCTGTTCACAAGATTGTCCTTGGCAATGGCATCTCTACTGATATGATTTAAAATGATGTAATCTAACATGAGAGCCTCGCTGAAATTAGATTGTATACTTGTTACAGACGAGCAACGATTACTTTCAACTAGCCCAGCAACAGGAGCCTAAATGGAAGAAGCTGCTGCAGCATGAACGCGACCAAAAGGTGCGGATAGAGAAGATGGTCGAACAGCTAGCTAGGCAACATTCTCATTTGGAGGAAGCAGCACAACACGCGATTCCTTCAGCGACGCTTGCAGGAGGACACAGACCTTCACGTAAATAATCTTACATCTACATTCTTCGTTTTGTAGCACGTTCATTCATATATTTTTCGATACTTTTTGATATTTTTTTATTGTTTAATTGATAGCTTAAGACACTACTCTTTAAAAAGTGTGCAACAAAACTCCTGTATTTTATTAAAATTTTATTTATGAATATTAATGCGCGACACGCGCTATAAATTTCAAAATCAAGTCGGTAGAATATTTCTCGTCATTATCACAAAAAATATTTTGATAATATTAAATATATTTCGCCAATTAAATTTCAAAAATAAATATTCTTCCAAAATAAAATATGCTTGAAATTCTTTGACGAATAAGCATTTTTGGATTTCGCACAAAATTCACATTATCCGTGGGTGATGTAAATTTTGTGGTTTATAAAATGTGATAGGGAAATGAAATATTTTCAAATCCCGGCGCCTTTATTTATTTACTCGTATCTCGCGCTAGATGGCTTTGGGGAGGTACACACCGATGCAACACGTTATCGCGCGGCTTACGTCATCCATGGTGTACTACGTACTCTCTAACACATTGCAGCATATATATATATGTATATATATACATATATATAGAGAGAAAAAAGCGTATATTCGCGCCTATATGCACAGTGTTCTCGGGCTTCCTCCGATTTTGACGTTTACTCAGGCGGCCCTTGGTATTCGATACGGGTTTTCTCCCGTAAACTTGATTTCCGGAATTCGGAACTATCCCCCTCCCCCATATCCTAAGTCTAATTGAAGAAAGACAGAATCGGACGAAGTTGTCAAAACAATAATCGGACGAGTCTAAAAGTGGTGCGTTTCGTTATTGGTGTCTCATTCAACTATTCTTGTCAAGTGTTCGCAAAAGTGGCAAAATTTGCATTGTCTTGTCAAAATTGATCGTACACAATCGTATGACAGGATGTGTCAGACTGTGTTCCGCGCTCTCTCTCTCTCTTTCTCTCTCTCTCTCTCTCTCTCTCTCTCTCTATTCTGTTCTTTTTATCTGTACATTGTTACACTTTCTATACTTGAAAACAATGTAATTGTATATGTGTATGTACATACATATACATATAACATATCCGAGAAAGAGAGAGAGAGAAATTGCAAGGAAGTACACAAAAGTGCAACTAAAGGGAATATATGTAATGTGTGTGTATAAAGTAGCTTTTTATAATCCATAACCACGATTCTCTCGTTAGTTTTAATCAAATGTCGCGGAACCCCGATTTTGTGGAGTCCAAATCCACGGTACAGTCGATTCGATTTAAATCAGAAAGGAGACTATACTAAAATGAGGGCAGACGAGAGTTTTAAATTAATATATCGATTCATTATTACTGATAAGATCTCCTGATTGAGTAAAGCACGAACGACTGGGTGAGATCATTAACACGTGTCATGCTATAATTTACACAGTTCTCACAATCTTATCGATGTCCTCACGTGCGATAGAGATCAACCGCATTATTTATCTTAACGCTTATCTAAACTTTGGGAACGATTAGATGACCTCTGTGGTCTCGCTCTGTGTTCAGTTTTTCTGCTTTCGTCTTCCTCCATTTGAATATTTCCATGTGTGACAAATGGAGAAATTCTGACTTTGCAGATCCCGCAATTACGACATCACCGTCGGAGGATGAGGAGGATAATGCTGAGTTTTATGATGCGCAAGAGTCAGATACTTTCACTCTAAACATATCTGGAGTCGCCACGAGTAATTCGATCTCACACACGAGAGACCGCACCGATTCTCAGGGTAGCGACGATGGCTCCAGTTCAGAAGGGGATCCAACACCTTTGCCTGTTTCCGATTCCACTGGTGCAGAGTCGTTTCTCATTGTGACCGATTCTACAGCAGCGCAGACTCCCTCACCCGTCAAGACCACAGACGACCTGGACAATGTAAGCGAGTTCCATTTTTTTCACCATTTTAAATATTTACGAAGCAGGATGTGAACACGTTCTCTTTTTTTCTTTTTTTCTTTTTTTCTTTTTTTCTTTTTTTCTTTTTTTCTTTTTTTCTTTTTTTCTTTTTTTCTTTTTTTCTTTTTTTCTTTTTTTCTTTTTTTCTTTTTTTCTTTTTTTCTTTTTTTCTTTTTTTCTTTTTTTCTTTTTTTCTTTTTTTCTTTTTTTCTTTTTTTCTTTTTTTCTTTTTTTCTTTTTTTCTTTTTTTCTTTTTTTCTTTTTTTCTTTTTTTCTTTTTTTCTTTTTTTCTTTTTTTCTTTTTTTCTTTTTTTCTTTTTTTCTTTTTTTCTTTTTTTCTTTTTTTCTTTTTTTCTTTTTTTCTTTTTTTCTTTTTTTCTTTTTTTCTTTTTTTCTTTTTTTCTTTTTTTCTTTTTTTCTTTTTTTCTTTTTTTCTTTTTTTCTTTTTTTCTACACTATAGATTTGGCAAGCCAACAATGGCGGTAGCGGCACCAGGGTGACCACTGTTTCCAAAAGGAAGCGAAGGATTAAGGTACCTGATAAACCAAATTATCCCTTGAATCTATGGAGTATCATGAAAAACTGTATTGGCAAAGATTTGTCAAAAATTCCTATGCCAGTTAATTTCTCCGAACCACTTAGTATGCTTCAACGGCTGACAGAAGACTATGAATACGCAGATATTCTTGATAGGTATATTTTTTTATTTCTAATGAAAAATTATGAAAATTATGTGCATGATGAAATGTTCTTTTAAATAGGGCTGCGGAATGTACAGATAGCTATGAACAGATGGCTTATGTAGCTGCGTTCACTATATCTAGTTACTCTACAACTGCTACTAGAACGGGAAAGCCTTTCAATCCTCTTTTGGGTGAAACTTTTGAGTGTGATCGTACAGATGACCTTGGATGGCGGGCAATTTCAGAACAAGTATCTCATCATCCGCCTATGCTGGCTCAACATTGCGAAGGAAAGAAATGGCGATGTTGGCAAGAGTTTACAATGGCCTCCAAGTTTCGTGGAAAATATCTGCAGGTACAATATTTTATTTATCGCAGAATATATAGCATTGTATTTATCTTTTCTGACATAAGATATTTTTTCAAGTCTGCAGTACACAAATATATCAAATAGATATCAAAATATATTTGATATAAATGTGTAATATGAGATAAATTATTTATTATTGAATAATATATTAACATAACATTACACAAACTAATTTATCAAATTATAAGTAAATGAGTTACGATATAAATATTCTTTGTGTATATAATGTTTGGAAAAATATTTTGCAAAATTTTTGATTGTCATCAACAAAAACATTGAAGAGAAAGATTTTTGTTCTTTTATCGATGTATGTGTTTGATGTATGTTTTGCTCAATATAATAAAATTTACAAGTTTATTGATTTTCTGTAATAATGTGACTCGGGTGACTAAATTTCAGAGCCCTAGGCTGTAACGCCTTATGTAGTTATATAATATAATAGATATATACACGATTCTGACGTCATCTTAATATATTGATATGCAAACGCATATTAGCCACATTAAAAAAATAATAGTTGAGTGATTGGCTTTTAGAAAATACATATGATAATTCAGAAATATATGTTAATTACATATACAGGCCTGCACAGGCCATTATTCAATAATTGCGCAACTATTGTGTCTTCTGAATACAGCCATTTAAATAATTGATTTTTGCAATCAGGTAATTCCTTTGGGTACTGCCCATTTGGAATTCAACAATGGGGAGCAACATTATACATGGCGTAAAGTTACAACTACAGTACATAATATTATAGTTGGAAAATTGTGGGTTGATCAGAGCGGTGATATGGATATTGTAAATCATAAGGAAGGTATCAAGTGCCATTTGAAGTACATACCGTACTCATATTTTTCGCGAGACAGTCAGCGTAAGGTGAAGGGAATAGTAATGAATTCTAACAAGGAAGTCAAGTGGGTAGTACAAGGCACATGGGATTCGAAAATAGAAATTGCTCCAGTAATCAGCTCGTCTGGTACACCTGATAATCCAGTCTACAAGACAGGTCCCTACATATTGGCGTGGAAACGACGTATGCCTACGTACGTATATAACTCTAATAGTTATGATATGTGACTCTCTGACTGAAACTCGGTTGAAAAAATATCGCTTTTTCCGCATTTTTTTTATTTTCTGTCTTTCATTCTCTTTTGATATATATAATTTTATTTAAACACAGCGATTCAACACCTCCTACTAAAATTGTAATAATAAAATTAAGAATAAATAATTTTTCATAATGTAACAAAGATCATTTTAATACCTAAATTTTTGTTTCGAAAAAGATCAATTGAGAGAAAGTTCTTTATTATATATTTACCATAGTAACATTTTTAATGCATATGATATTGCAGATAGATATTTCAACGTTTTAATTTAATTTTACAGTGATGACTGTGAGAAATATTATTCATTCACGGAATTAGCGTGTCAATTAAACGAACCGGAAGAGGGTGTAGCTCCGACGGATTCTCGGCTGAGGCCCGATCAGCGATTAATGGAAGATGGACGGTGGGACGAAGCTAATGCCGAGAAATTGCGTTTAGAAGAAAAACAAAGAGCGTCCAGACGAGCACGCGAGCACGAGGCCGAAAAAGCTACCACACAAGGTAGGTTTATATATGTTATCAGATTGCAAAAATATTGAGTCTTTGTGCTCACTTGGAAACTTTGTTTTTCCGCAGGTTTACCTTATGAGGTGTACGAACCGTTGTGGTTCAAGAAGAAGCAGGATCCATACACAGATAGCCGTTGTTACGTTTACAATGGCGAATATTGGGATTGTAAGAGTAGAGGTGATTGGTCACGATGTCCGAATATATTTTAGTTAATTATATAAATTATATTCGATTATATGATACGAGATTCGTCACACACGTATATGCAGTGCAAACAAGTTTTGGATCATTCAAGTGACGATAGTCGAGTTTATACAAGTCGCGACCGCTTGTGGTGAAGACTTGAATGCTTATAAAATAACGTTGACATAATAATGGGATTGTTATAGGATATGGTATAGCGAGATTAATTCTTCCAAAGTTGCTGGCACTCTGATATGTATAATATGCATTTTGCATATAGTTGCATATCACATCACTTTTGTTTTTCTTTGATTCTCCCTATCTTTCTCTTTTCCTCTGTGCAGCATTCTTTTGTTCTTTTCTTTCCGAGTACAATTAGGCGCATTTCCAATCCAATACTTATTTAATATGCATTTGTATGTTATTATTTTATTTCAAGATTTTGCAAAATTAATGTAAATAGATACTCTTAAATTTTTCAATCCAATTATATTGCATATTTAAATTTTGCATAAATCAGCTGTATGTACGAATTAATGACGAATTGATGCTGAAGTGAGCATCGATAAAACTAAGCGAATATTTTACTACATCAGCCTAAAACTGAGATAGCAATATTACGATCGTAGAGAAAGAAGTACTATCACCATTATCGAAGGGAAGGGGGGTAATCAAGCTCAATGTTCCACTTTTATAATATATCTAGTATTTTCGATTTATTTTTAAACGAATACACACGAATCTAATTTTCCAGAAATTAATCCTTATGTTTTATCGAAATTTGTCATGCTACTATATGTAGATGAAAATTTTGTATATTTCATCATTTGATCCATTGCTGAAACGCAATATTTAGAAATGCACAGCGAGGAATAAAATTGAGTTTGTATTCAATATGCATTGGTGTAAATCAAGATGCAATAATATTTTCATTTTTCAACTCGTTTTTATGAAAATAAACAAAAGATAGGCATTTATAAATATCAAAAAACTCTCCAGTTTAACTTTGATATATATATATATATATATTAGAGAGAATATGCCTGTAATCATGTCATAATATTTTCCTCGCTGCATATTTCTTGTTTGATGCAGTATGTATCTGAAATATTCGAAATGGAAATATGAAAATATCGACAGTATTGTCCGAATTAAGGATGAATATAGATATTGTACATTCGAAGATTTATTCAATGATTTCGGATACACAAACGCAGCGATAATCTGATTGCTGATATTTTATGTAATATAAATATAAATCGACAACCATGATGCTTCCAAGTTTGGCCATTGTTATTGCAAAAGCCACGCCATTACACATGCTCGTGCAAACTTTGAGCCCGCTAGATAGACAGAGTATTTTATTAAGCTGTAATGCGTTGCAGTGTCATATATATATATATATATATATATATATATACAATTGTTCAAACCCTTATATTACTAA